CGGCGGCCGGCCGGGGCCCCGGCAGCGCCCGAGCCGCCCGAGTCTCGGTTTTGCTTCTATTTATTTCTTTTGTCCAAAGTAAATAGCTATTTCAGAGGGCAGCGCGTGTGGGTTCGGTACATCCGCCTCCCCCAACTCCGAGAAGTGGTAACTGCTCTCCAGTTTTGTCTCTTATGGGGTGTCAGCCACGAGGGTCAACCCTAAGTCTGCAGGGAGAGCACGTTTATGGGGAGCCCCTGGAGTGGCAGCGACCGGGTGGGAGGATGCTTCCCTTTGGTCCATGGCCTCGGTGTCCATTGGAATTAGGCTACTCCGAGCGACTTGTTTTGCGTGAAAAGTGACTGTTTTTTTCCCCACTAAGGGTAGAGGGTGTTGTACTGGAAAGGGTCGTTTTGAAGTACTTGGCATTTGCCGTTCCCTTGGAACGCGATCTTCCTAATGAGCCTGTTTTTCCCTAAAGCAGAAATCAGGTTCACATTGAGTTTATCTGAACTACTTTGGAAAGTCATCAAACTATCCTTGCTCCACGGCAGTGTGTACTTCCTTGGATAACTAAAGATTCACACTGCTGTTATGAACTCCTCAATAGTCTTTTCAACAAGTGTTTCTAAAATCTTGAAAGTGGCAGATGCGTCTCAACTTGGGAGGAGGTGGTATTTCATAAAAGAACTTGAGAAATATTCATTCCACTAAAAGGATGCTTAACTGAAGTGTTAATTTGATCAATATCGTGAGCAACGTGGATATTTTCTTTATCATAATTGAAGGGTCTCTCCTTGCCATGAACCTTAATGTTTGATAGCTTTGGTCCTAGAGTATATGATGCTATGAAAATATGATTAAGTACTTTGAGACAGATAAAAATGGTATAACTGGTAAAGCTTTTGTTTCACAGTATAATTTAGTGTAGCATGCAGCCCTATATCCTCAGTTTGTACATGAACATGCTTAAACATTTTTTTACTGCCTTGACCCACATAAACATTTTTTTCTCTAAGTAGATCACCAAATGATAATTCAATGAACAATATATATTTATTGAATAGAAACTTTTAAAAGGTGATTGTTAAAACATGCTTGACATGTTTTCTCTTGTGAAAAACCACTTACACTTTTTAAAAATTACCAGGGCTTTAAAATTACTTTAAATTTGTACTTTGAACAGGAAAAAAGTTAGGTTGCTATTAAATATAAGAAATTACTTTTTAACAAAGTCTTATGCT